ATTAGCTGGGCGTAGTGGCGCACACCTGTAATCCCAGGTATTCGGGAGGCTGAGGCAGGAGGATCGCTTGAACCTAGGAGGCAGAGTTTACAGTGAGCCTAGATCATGCCATAGCACTCCAGCCTGGGTGACAGACCAGACTCCGTCTCAATAACAACAATAACAACAACAAAATCGACCTAAAATGCCACAACCTATACCCTTGAACTACCTGGAATAGCTTTAAAAAAGCACCTGCTTTTTAATTTCCTTTAATACTTACCCAAATCTGTAATTACTTATCGTCCTACTAGAAAACACTCTTCAGGAAGTATAGGAACCTAGACTGTTTTACTTACAGTCTATTCCTTGCACATAGTAGGTGCTGCTCATTACGTATCAGTGAAATAAAAGGGATGAAAAACATTACATAACCATAATCTACTTAAAAACGAAGGCCAAGTGTGGTGGCTCACGCCTGTAATCCCAATACCTTGGGAAACTGAGGTGGAAGATCACCTGAGGTCAGGAGTTAAGAGACCAGTCTGTCCAATGTGGTGAAACCCTGTCTACTAAAAATACAAAAATTGAGCACGATGACACACGTCTATAGTCCCAGCTACTCCAGCCAGAGGTTGAGGGGGGGAAATTGCATGAACCTGGGAGGTGGAGGTTGCAGTGAGCCGAGATTGTGCCATTGCCTGGGCGACAGAGTGAGACTGTCTGAAAAAAAAATTTTAATAAATAAACAAATAAAAATACAAAAAATTAGCCAGGCAAGGTGGCAGGTACCGTAATCCCAGTTATTCAAGAGGCTGAGGCAGGAGAATCGCTTGAACCCAGGAGGCAGAGGTTGCGGTGAGCTGAGATCATGCCACTGCATTACAGCCTGGGCAACAGAGCAAGACTCCATCTCAAAAAAAATTTAAAAATTTGCATGGTGGCCAGGTGCAGCGGCTCATGCCTGTAATCCCAACATTTTGGGAGGCCAAGGCAGGTGGATCACCTGAGGTCAGGAGTTTGAGACCAGCCAACCTGATCAACATGGTGAAGCCCCGTCTCTACCAAAAATACAAAATTAGCCAGGCGCGGTGGTGCATGCCTGTAACCCCAGCTACTTGTGAGGCTGAGGCAGGAGAATCACTTGAACCTGGGAGGCAGAAGTTCCAGTAAGCCTAGATTGCGCCATTGCATTCTAGCCTCAGCAACAAGAGGGAAACTGCATCCTAATCCCAGCATGGGATTACACTGGGAGGCCAAGGTGGCGAGGTGGGTGGATTACCTGAGCTCAGGAGTTCGAGAGCAGCCTGGCGAACATGGTAAAACCTCATTTCTACTAAAAATACAAAAATTAGCCAAGTGTGGTGGTAGGTTCCTATAATCCCACCTACTCAGGAGGCTGAGGCAGGAGAATTGCCTGAACTCGGAGGTGGAAGTTGCAGTGAGCTGAGATTATGTCACTGCACTCCAGCCTGGGCGACAGAGCGAGACTCCGTCTCAAAAAAAAAAGAAAGAATTGCACAGTGGCACAAGCCTATAGTCCCAGCTACCTGGGAGCCTGAGGTGGGAGGACTGCTTGAGCCTGGGAGTCAGAGGATGCAGTGAGCCATGATCATAAATAATCCTGCCAATACACTTCACCATGGGCAACAAGGCAAAACAGTGTCTTAAAAAAAAAAAAAAAAAAAGGCAAAATTTTGCAATTGCAGAAAAGTTAAATAAGATATGCATAAGAATAGTGTTCAAGGCCGGCACCAGTGACTCACGCCTGTAATCCCAGCACTTTGGGAGGCTGAGGCAGGCGGATCACGAGGTCAAGAGATCGAGATCATCCTGGCGAATATTGTGAAACCCCGTCTCTAGGAAAAATACAAAAAGTAGCCGGGCGTGGTGGCGCACACCTGTAGTCCCAGCTACTCAGGAGGCTGAGGCAGGAGAATTGCTTGAACCCGGGAGGCAGAGATTGCAGTGAGCTGAGATCTCACCACTGCACTCCAGCCTGGGCGACAGTGTGAGACTCTGTCTCAAAAAAAAAAAAAAAAAAAAGAAAAAAAGAAAATACTGTTAAAAACCACCAAAGTGAAGCATGATTCTGTTTGTGGTTTTGAGACAGGGTCTCACTCTGTCACCCATACCGGAGTACAGTGATGAGATCATAGCTCACTGCAGCCTAGACCTGCCAAGCTCTAACAATTCTCCCACCTCTGTCACTGAAATAGCCTGGCCTACAGGTGTGTGCCACCACACCCAGCTAATTTTTTTTTTAAGAGATGAGGTCTGGGCCAGGCACGGTGGCTCATGCCTGTAATCCCAGCACTTTGGGAGGCCGAGGCAGTTGGATCACGAGGTCAGCAGTTTGAGACCAGCCTGACCAACATGGTGAAACCCCATCTCTACTAAAAACATACAAAAAAATAGCTGGGCGTGGTGGTGGGCGCCTGTAATCCCAGCAATTTGGGAGGCTGAGGCAGAAGAATCGCTTGAAACTGGAAGGCGGAGGTTGCAGTGAGCTGAGATTGCGCCACTGCACTCTAGCCTGGGCAGTAAGAGCAAAACTCCATCTCAAAACAACAACAACAAAAAAGATGAGGTCTTACTATGCTGTCCAGACTGGTCTTCCAGCCTTGGCCTCCCAAAGTGCTGGATTACCATGCCTAGTCTATGATTTTCCATTTTGTATGCAGTTTTGCTACAGAAGTTCTCCAAAAGGATTACCATTTAAAATTCCCCTGTATCCTGAAGGGGCACTAGTGTTCAAATATAGAAGATACCAGTGGATAAATTATTTAGCACAATTCGTAAGTTCATGTAGGGTAATTTCAGCAAAATTATTCAAATAAGAGTATATGGTATACTGCCGGGCACAGTGGCTCACGCCTGTAATCCCAGCATTTTGGGAGGCCGAGGTAGGTGGATCACCTGAGGTCAGGAGTTCAAGACCAGTCTGACCAATATGGTAAAACCCCATCTCGCTGAAAATACAAAAATTAGCTGGGCGTGGTGGCCTGCGCCCGTAGTCCCAGCTACTCGGGAGGCTGAGACAGGAGAATTGCTTGGTCCCGGGAGGCAGAGGATGCAGTGAGTCAAGATCGCACCACTGCACTCCATCCTGGACAACAGAGCGAGACTCTGTCTCAAAAAGAAAAAAAAAAAAGATAGTATCTTCACAAGGAACTACAAAAAGAAGGTTTACATATGAAGAATTATGAGCATAGTATTTTCTTATTACATTGTAAATACACTAAGCATAAAAATACTTCAAACATTCTAAAGTTTCTTTTTTCTTTTCCTTTGAAATGCTCTTGCTCCATCACCCAGGCTAGAGTGCAGTGGTGTGATCTTGGCTCACGGCAGCCTCCACCTCCCAGGTTCAAGGGATTCTCAGCTTCAGCCTCGGGAGTAGGTGGGATTATGGGCGTGTACCATCATGCCCAGCTAATTTTTTTGTATTTTTTGTAGAAATGGTATTTTGCTGTGGTGGCCAGGCTGATCTCAAGTGATCCACCCGCCTCAGTCTCCCAAAGTGCTGGGATTACAGATGTGAGCCATTGCACCAGGCCTAAAGGAAGTTTTTATTTTCACTGATCTTTCAAGTATCAACTCAAACTCAATTTCCCAACTTACATAGGTTTAAGCCTTATTCTACTTTGAAGCTGTTTAGAACAATCTGAAGGGGCCAGGCACAGTGGCCCACGCCTGTAATCCCAGCACTTTGAGAGGCCAAGGTGGGCGGATCACTTGAGGTCAGGAGCTGAGGTTAGGTCTACCAAAAATACAAAATTAGCTGGGCATGGCGGCGCACGCCTGAAATCCCAGCTACTCAGGAGGCTGAGGCATAAGAATAGCTTCAACTTGGCCGGGCACGGTGGCTCAAGCCTGTAATCCCAGCACTTTGGGAGGCTGAGACGGGCGGATCACGAGGTCAGATCGAGACCATTCTGGCTAACACGGTGAAACCCCGTCTCTACTAAAAAAAAAATACAAAAAACTAGCCAGGCATGGTGGTGGGCGCCTGTAGTCCCAGCTACTCGGGAGGCTGAGGCAGGAGAAGGGCATAAACCCGGGAGATGGAGCTTGCAGTGAGCTGAGATCTGGCCACTGCAGTCCAGCCTGGGCGACAGAGCAAGACTCCGTCTCGGGGGGAAAAAAAAAAAAAAAAAAAGAATAGCTTCAACTCAGGAGGCAGAGGTTGCAGTGAGCAGAGATTGAACCACTGCACTCCAGCCTGGGCAATAGAACAAGATTCTGTCAAAAAAAAACCAAAAAAAAACAAAAAAACCCCCACGATTTACAAGGTAGATAAGTTCTAGCTTAAAAAAATACGGCAAGACTCCCATCTCAAAAAAAAAAAAAAAAAAAAAAGACTTCTTGGTCTGGCGCAGTGGCTCATGCTTGTAATCCCAGCACTTTGGAAGACCGAGGCGGGTGGATCACCTGAGGTCAGGAGTTTGAGACAAGCCTAGCCAATATGATGAAACCCCATCTCTACCAAAAATACTAAAAAAAATTGGCCAAGCGTGGTGGCAGGCACCTGTAATCCCAGCTACTCAGGAGGCTGAGGCAGGAAAACTGCTTGAACCCGGGAAGTGGAAGTTGCAGTGAGCTGAGCTCACGCCACTGTACTTCAGCTTGAGCAACAAGAATGAAACTCCGTCTCAAAAAAATAAAATAAAATAATAAAAGACTCTTAAGTAATTTTACCAAGTTCACTCTTACTTTCTTATAAACATAAAATTACATTTCCTTGGTTAAAAAAAAAAACAAAAAACAAGTATTGTAAATACAATTTGATGGATTTCTGGCACAGGACTGGAACCACATATGATACTAAGCAAATCATCCTAAGGGTTTTCATGAGCAAGCTACCAAGTGCACGATAAAACTGACATGCCAAGTACAAGTGCATATTCATCCCATCAAAAAGTCACTGTAGTATTATGCCAGGCTAGTTTTTGTTCCCATGAAAATAAGATTTTTAAAAATAGTTTTATTCAGTGGAAGTACACATATGAATTCCTCACCTGTCGTTCACAATAGGCTTTCATTAGTTTACTAAGTGGTGTATGCCTCTTAATCTTAAACTGCACCACAGAACCATCCTGCCCCGCCACCTTCAAATTAATATGATCGTTGTTCTCAGTCTTGACTCCTTCCTGTTAAAAGAAAAATAAAAGTATAATTTGGGAAATGTGATCAACACACACTTTTATAAAGCAGCAGCAGCCCTAAGTTGCTTCAAAAATCAACAGGTTTCTCATACGGTATGCTAAAACGGCATACGGCTGTTTTCAGCTGCTGAAATCAATGTGAAAGAGGAGAAATCCTGCAGCAACAGTATTAGATAGCTGTCAGATACAGAAAAGCCTACATGCAATACTATCAGTAACAACAATACATGTTTAAAGTTGGGTCCTATTCAGTGTATTGAACGTTCTCTTGAAGCTAAACTTTCTAAAATGGCATATATCACTCCCAAAATATATATTTTACCCCCAAAAAAAAGTTAAAAATAAGAGTCTCTTTTCTAAGCACTTTAAGTACAACTGCAAGAAACAAAACAATAAATCTACAGCCTGCCATTCAAAACTCATTACCGTTGTCGTTAAAAAGTTACCAAACTCAGTTTAATAACCTAAATCCAATCTCCATTAAAGTAAACACACACACGAAAAATCGAAGAATATCCCGATTCCCTCCGGAACAGCGGTAATACTCAGGACCACAGTTACGTTCTCCTCTATTAGCAGCTTCATTTTTATCTTCGGTTAAGAGCACTTATTCTCCCCTCCCCTTTGTTGTCATGGGTCAAATACACAGTTTTATCCCAAGTGTTTCTTGTAGATTTCGACCCAACCTAAAGTTGTCCAAAATCGAGTGTAGAAGGCATGCTGTAGCCCTAAAACGCTTCAGAAAGTAAAGGCGCGAGAGGCGGGAGGTGTCACCAAACTAAAAGCAGCAAGTCCCGTGTGCCCCGATGATGGGTGTCCCCCAGTCCTCCCGGGAAGTCTTCGGGTGCCTCAAAAGCCGCATTCAAAAGTTAAGCCGCACAAAGTCTCTCTGCTCCTACCTGTGCCTCCAACTTCATGAAACCACATGGTCTTCGCGGATTAGGGGTTCGTTGGCACCCAGGGAAAAGCCGCTGCCCCTCCCCCCTCAGGTCCCTGAGGCCATTAAAGTGGGAAATACTCCACGGGAATCCCCCTACCCCCAGGCCCAGTACGGCGGCCAGCGGGCATCCAGGTTCCTGCTCATCAGCAGCCCATTGATTCGCCCCGAACCCTCGCCCCGCCGCCGCCGCCCCGGGCAGGAGTCCCCAGATGCCCGCGGTTTCTACCCCTGAGAGGTGAAGCCCGAGCCCAGGGGACTCCCCGCCGCCTCGGAGACTGCAACACCCGACGCGGGGTCGGCGCAGGGTGGAGACCCCGCGCGCCCTAACGCCCCTCCTCACGCGCGCCGGACGGCTGGGCCAAGAATCCCCGTTCCGGGCTGGTGGGCCCGCGGGCGTCCGCGATCTGCCCGCCCAACTCGCGCCCCGCGCGCACTCGGAGGCCGCCGGGGGCGGGAGAGAGCGGCGGGGCCTCCTCCGGCGCGGGAGGGAGGAAGAGAGGGAGGGAGGAAAATGGCGCGGAGCGCCGGGGCCTGAGCTGCGGCCGGCCCTGTGGGGGGCCCGGGAAGGCGCTGGGAGCCAGCGGCGAGCTCTGGCCGGACCCCGGCCCGCGCCCTGACCCCGACCGCGCGGCGAGGCGAAGGGGCCGGCGCCGAGCTCACCTTGGGCTTTTCGTCGGCCATGGCGAGCGCCGGAGTCTCCTCAGCTGCCGCTTCACAAAAGAGGTACCAGGTCCGCACCAAACGAGCACACAAGCAGCACCAGGAGCGGCAGAAGAAGGAGGCGGCAGCGGTGGACGAGGGAGAGGGTGCGCGCACGTCGTGCGCTCCCTCCCCCCACCCTGCGTGCGCGAGCACGAGCCGCCGGGGCCTCCCATTGGCTGGCGCCTCGCGGGAGCGCGCAACGCTTACATAACCACCCCCACCCCCCGCCCCGCGCCACCGCGTCCTGGGCCAGGCGCCCGCCCGGCCGGCGGGAAGAAGCGCGGACACGCGCACCCGGCCCGCCGCGGGGGCGCGCCTGGCTCTGGGCGGGGCTGTATTGTCCTCCTTCGTGGTGGAGCATAATCAAAATGGCTTCCAGCTGGTCCTCGGTGGGAACGATGAGGCTCGAGGCTTTAGACGTGAGCCATAGGCCAGGGAAGGCTGACTGACTAGAGGAAGAAGGGGATTCCTAAATCAAAGCCCCAGCATGAGGTTCTGGAAAAATCTCTCTCTTTCAGTGGACCAGCAGCCCTCCCATGGTTACTTCCTCTCAGTCAGTCTTAACCTGCTTCCCACCGGACTCTTGCCTCAAATGCAGTGTCTTCTTCTTTTTTTTTTTTTTTTTTTTTGAGACGGAGTCTCGCTCTGTTGCCCAGGCTGGAGTGCAGTGGCACGATCTCGGCTCACAGCAACCTCTGCCTCCCAGGTTCAAGCGATTCTCCTGCCTCAGCCTCCCGAGTAGCTGGTATTACAGGCGCACGCCACAACACCCGGCTAATTTTTTGTATTTTTCGTAGGGACAAGGTTTCCCCGTGTTAGCCAGGATGGTCTCGGTCTTCTGACCTCGTGATCCGCCCGCCTCGGCCTCCCAAAGTACTGGGATTACAGGCGTGAGCCACCATACCCGGCCTGCAGTGTCTTCTTCTGTCCTGCTGGTAACCCTAGACTTTGACTAGCTACGGGAAAATGTTCGTGTATTCATTCAACGAACTCCTTACTCATCGCCTATCTTCCAAGAGGAAACAGTATCCTTAAGCGAGAACTACCCAACAATCAAGCTTCCAGCCAATTTAATCATTTCCTCCTTGCATCCAGTTAAAACATAGACATGCATCCCTCCTGTCTGAAGAACAATCCAGTGTGTGCACTGGATTCCATCTTGCTCCTCCCCCTGGGCTTTATTATTTGCTTTTGTCCCTGAATTTTCTTCCTCTCCTCCGTTAGTATAGAAAAAAAAAAAAAAAGAAGAAGCTCTCAATTCTATTAAGTTACCATCCTATCTCTCTCCATTCTTGGCCAAACAGCTTGAAAAAATGTCCCTGCCAGCTGTCTCCAACCCCTCCCCTCCCACTCACTCCTCAACCCACTGCAATCTGGTGCTGTCCCCAAAGTTCCACTAAAACTGCTCTCCACAAGGTCACCGCAGACTTCTTTGCTGAATCCAGTATGCTTCTCAGTTTGTCACTCTTTCTCTTGAACTTTGCAGGAGGTAGGTTTTCCTCTCATCTCTAGCCTGTCCTTTGTTCTCTCTGCAATTTCTTTTTCTTACTCACTCCTTCCCTTAACTGTTCCTTAGGGTTTTCTTCAAGATCCTTTTATCACTCAATTCCCTCTCCGAGGATGATTTCACCCGCTTTCGCTGCCATCTCTTTGCTAATGATCCTCAAATCTGTTATTTCTAGTCCACATCTTTCTTCTGAGTTTCCAGTTGGATGTCCCAGAGGCACCTCAAACCCAGCAACTCTCAACTAAAACTCCTCACTTTACCTTCCGCTTGGGTTCTTCTTCCTGACCTACCACTCTTAAACTGTGTGACACACCACTACAACAGCTGCCCTAAGCTGGAAAGGCCAGCGACATTCCTGACTTCTTCTCCTTCACACACTCCTCATCCAATCAATCACCAAGTCTTGTCTATTCCACCTTCTTACCAAATCTACTTTCTTCAGCCTCTGGATGGAGCTGCATTTGTTGGCCTTCTGTAGGTCCTCTTTGGGTAGGAAGAGGCTCAAGACCTTAGATATGTGATAGGCCAAAGTAGGAAGACTAACTCTATCTAGTTCAGATCAACACTCTCAAAAGATACTGCAATATCAGCTGGGCATGGTGACTCACGCCTGTAACCCCAACACTCAACACTTTGTGAGGCTGAGGCAGGCAGATCACCTGACGTCAGGCGTTTGAGACCAGACTGGCCAACATGGTGAAACCCTCTGGTGGCTCATGCCTGTAATCCCAACACTTTGGGAGGCCAAGGTGGATGGATTGCCTGAGGTCAGGAGTTCGAGACCAGCCTGGCTAACATGGTGAAACCCTATGTCTCTACTAAAAATACAAAAATTAGCTGGGCGTGGTGGCAGGTGCCTGTAATCCCAGCTACTCGGGAGGCTGAGGCAGGAGAATCTCTTGAACTCAGGAAGTAGAGGTTGCAGTGAGTCGAGATCACACCACTCAGTGCACTCCAGCCTGGGCAACAGAGCAAGACTTCGTCTTGAAAAAAAAACAAAAACAGGCCGGGCGCGGTGGCTCACACCTGTAATCCCAGCACTTTGGGAGGCCGAGACGGGCGGATCACGAGGTCAGCAGATCGAGACCATCCTGGCTAACACGGTGAAACCCCGTCTCTACTAAAAAATACAAAAAACTAGCCGGGCGAGGTGGCGGGCGCCTATAGTCCCAGCTACTCGGGAGGCTGAGGCAGGAGAATGGCGTGAACCCGGGGGGCGGAGCTTGCAGTGAGCTGAGATCCGGCCACTGCACTCCAGCCTGGGTGACAGAGTGAGACTCCGTCTCAAACAAACAAAAAAAACAAAAAAAAAACAAAAAACAAAAACAAAAAAACACAAAGATACTGCAATATGGAAATATCCTCCTAACTCATCTGTTTTTGTTGTTGTTGTTGCTTGTTTGTTTTGTTTTAGACGGAGCCTCACTCTGTCGCCCAGGCTGGAGTGAAGTGGCACTATCTCGGCTCGCTACAACTTCTGCCTCCTGGGTTCAAGCTATTCTGCCTCAGCCTCCCAAGTAGCTGGGACTACAGGCACGTGCCACCACGCACGGCTAATTTTTTGTATTTTTAGTAGAGATGGGGTTTCACTGTGTTAGCCAGGATAGTCTTGATCTCCTGACCTCGTGATCCACCTGTCTCAGCCTCCCAAAGTGCTGAAATTACAGGCATGAGCCACCATGCCTGGCCGTTTGTTTGTCTCTTTGAGACAGAATGTTGTTCTTGTGGCCCAGGCTGGAGTGCAATGGCAAGATCTTGGCTCACTGCAAACTCTGCCTCCTGGGTTCAAGAGATTATCCTGCCTCTGCCTCCTGAGTAGCTAGGATTACAGGCATGCCATGCAGCACCATGCCCAGCTAATTTTGTGTGTTTAGTAGAGACGGGGTTTCTCCGTGTTGGTCAGGCTGGTCTCGAACTCCCGACCTCAGGTAATCTGCCCACCTTGGCCTCCCAAAGTGCTGAGATTACAGGCATGAGCCACTGCGCCTGGCCTAACCCATCTGCTTTAAAGTACCTCCATTATGCCTGGATGTTTAAGTGAGTCAGAATAATCTAAAGGGCTGGTTTAAATACAAATTTTGGGGACCCTTGGAAGGTTGGCTCTGGAATTCACCTTATTTATTTTTTTTTTTTTCTTTTTTAAGAAAGGTCTGCTTTCCACCCAGGATAGAGTGCAGTGCCACAATCATAGCTCACTGCAGCCTCGAACTCCTGGGCTTAAGCCATCCTCTCGCCTCAGCCTCCAAGTAGCTAGGACCACAGACATGCACCTCCATACTCACCTAATTTATTTTTATTTTTTATAGAAATAGCATCTCCTGGCCAGGCGTGGTGGCTCATGCCTGTAATCCCAGCAAGAATCACTTGAACCCAGGAGGCGGAGGTTGCAGTGAGCCAAGATCACGCCAGTGCACTCCAGCCTGGGCAACGAGTGAAACTCCATCTTCAAAAAAATGATGGAAGAAATGGCGTCTCCTGGGCTCAAGTGATCCTCCAGATTCAGCCTCCCAAAACGCTAGGATTACAGGCATGAGCCACTGTACCCTGCCAAATCTGCCTTTTTTTTTTGGAGGGTCTCACTCTGTTGCCCAGGCTAGAGTGAATTGGCGTGATCTCAACTCACTGCAACCTCTGCCTCTTGGGCTCAAGGGATCCTTCTACCTCAGCCTCCCAAGTAGCTGGAACTACAGGTGCATGCCACCACACGAGGCTAATTTTTTTTATATTTTTTGTACAGATGAGGCTCTCACTATGTTCCTCAGACTGGTCTCAAACCCCTGAGCTCAAGAGATCCTCCCACTTCAGCTTCCCAAAGTGATAGGATTATAGGTGGGAGCCACTATGCCCAGCCCTGGTGTTTCTTTTTTTTTTTTTTTTTTTTTTGAGACGGAGTCTCGCTCTGTCGCCCAGGCTGGAGTGCAGTGGCCGGATCTCAGCTCACTGCAAGCTCCGCCTCCCAGGTTTACGCCATTCTCCTGCCTCAGCCTCCCGAGTAGCTGGGACTACAGGTGCCCGCCACCTCGCCCGGCTAGTTTTTTGTATTTTTTTAGTAGAGACGGGGTTTCACTGGGTTAGCCAGGATGGTCTCCATCTGCTGACCTCGTGATCCGCCCGTCTCGGCCTCCCAAAGTGCTGGGATTACAGGCTTGAGCCACCGCGCCCGGCCCCTGGTGTTTCTTAAACACACTAAAGTTTGAGGCCGGGCACAGTAGCTCATGCCTGTAGTCCCAGCACTTTGGGAGGCCAAGGTGAGGGGATCATCTGAGCTCAGGAGTTCAAGACGAGCCTGGACAACATGGTGAAACCTCGTCTCTACTATAAATACAAAAATTAGCCGGGTGTAGCTGGCATACCCAGCTACTCTGGAGGCTGAGGCTGGAGAATTGCTTGAAACCAGGAGGCAGAGGTTGCCGTGAGCTGAGATTGCGCAATTGCATTCCAGCCTGGGTGACAGAGTGTGACTCTGTTTCAAAGAAAAAAAAAAAGGAATAAATAATAACGTTTGAGAAACACAAGCCATTATAAAATAAATATAAACCAAAAAGGTCGGGCACTGTGGCTCACACCTGGAATCCCAGCCCTTTGGGAGACCAAGGCAGGCAGATCATCTGAAGTCAGGAGTTCAAGACCAGCCTGGCCAAAACATGTTGAAATCCCATCTCTACT